ACCCCAGGGGAAATGGAAAATCACATACCTGATGCCCCCAAATGCTAGTCTACTCCCACCTCTACTGCAAGCCCTTTCCTATCCTGTAATCCAAGCCTTTGACCACCTGGACCTGCCTGAAATTGGCCCGAAAAGGGAGCCCAGAAAAGGGAGCTGCTCAGCCTGCATTAGCCTAAAGGAAGGATGTGGTTCTCGGATGATTTGTTTACCTTATGGTCCACTCTGACCACATGACCTTTTTAAAAAATCATATTAATATACATCTTACAATCCTGCTGAGGGGCATCCTAATGCTGACTTCCTCTCAGTGCCCGTGACTCACATGCCCTGGGCTGACAAGAGTGCCAGGCCCTGGCCTGGGAGGCAGGCCTACAGCACTGCGGCCCCAGGAGTGGGTCGCAGAGGCAGGTGGGTGGCCTCGCCTTGGTGTGGATGTCTCCCCTGGGGCCCAGTACAGCAGCTGGCAGATGACTGCCTGGTGCCTGGGAGTCTGGGAATCTGATCCAGGAGATTCCTGCTTCCAGGGAGGAACGTGGGAGGGAGGATGAAGACAGCTCAGCTGTACCCCGTGCTGATGGCTGTGAGGAGATACCGAGGGAAGTGAGCGCTAAATGGGGAGCCAGGAGAAGAGTGATTCTAGTCGACCTCAAAGTAGCAATATTCCGGCCAGCCAACCTCCCACCCCCTCACATTTCCATATACATTCATTCACTCCATAAACAAACAACACCTGGGACAGGTGCTGGCCGCTGGCAAATGAGACAGACCCAAACCTGGGCAGCTCCCTCTTCTGACTTGCATGTTTACCTGAGGCCCCTGCCCTTTAGAATCCTGCCCTTTGGGCCTGACACCCCCAATGGTTTGAGTTGAGGGACAGAGGACCACCAGGTACTATGGAGAGCAGGCTCACGGGGTGTCCACCCACTCACCCAGCCCAAAGGCAATTTTAGCTTGTTCTGTTCCATCCACCTACGGAGGCAGGGGAGCAAGACCCTGTAGCAAAACAAGGAACAGTGAGGCAAACGGCTGGGGGTGGGCTGCCCAAAAGGGTGGAGAGAGTGGCAGGAGGGGCCTGTCCTGTCCCCACACTGCCATCTCTCTCCTTCTCCAGACCCTAGGCCATTCACTGCCCTGCCCTCTCCCCAGTCCCAGCACCTCTGCCTTGAAGCTCTGCTCCCCTTCCAGGCCTGGAGCAGCAGCCTGGCCTTCACTCAAGCATCCCCATCCCAGACAAGCCCCGCCCCTCTCCAAGCTGTTGTGTACTGAGAGTTCAGGGATCCCTGCTCCATGTCTCCTCCCAGCCCCAGCAGGTCAGTTTCTCAGAACCCAGGCTCTCATCTGCAGAATTGGGGTCTCTGCCTCCCCACAAAAACCCACTGGGCTCCACCACGGAGACTGAAACCTAATGTGCCCACTGGCTCAGTCAATGATAAGATCCCTCCAGTGTCAGCTTTGTGGGCTGGGAACATGGGAGCTGAACCCAGGGCCAGCCAGAGCTTCATGGGGTAGAATGCCCAACCCACCTCCCCACTTAATCCACCCCCATCTGCTCTGCTTTAATTACAGCAGAAGCAAACCTCAAGGTTAAGCCCTGAGCTGAGGCCTGAGCACAGACTTGGACCTGATGCTACATTATCTCCTAATCAGCAGCTTAGCTGCTCTCCCCACCTCTGCCCTGTAGCATCACCAACCCTCATCTAGGCCTGCTCACCCTGTGGCTGCCCTTAATTTTACTTTTACCCAGCCCCCTTCCTAGCTTCCCCTGGCCAGGTTCCCGCAGGAGAGGACCCCTTCAGTGACACCCCCATGGTGTTCGCAGCCTCCAGTTTCCGCTGCCTGGTGGACGTGGTGCCCGTGAAGAATGAGGACGGAGCTGTCATCATGTTCATCCTCAACTTTGAGGATCTGGCCCAGCTCCTGGCCAAGAGCGGGAGCCGAAGCCTGTCCCAGCGCCTGTTGTCCCAGAGCTTCCTGGGCTCCGGTGAGGAGGGGTGCAGGTGGTGGAGGGAGGGGTGAGTGGGGGCACCAAGTAGAGCAGCTGGTCCCTGACCCTGGCTGCTCTGACCCTGGCCCTGCTTTCAGAGGGCTCTCACGGCAGGCCCGGTACGCAGGGGCCTGGCACGGGCAGGGTCAAGTACAGGACCATCAGCCAGATTCCGCAGTTCACACTCAACTTTGTGGAGTTCAACCTGGAGAAGCACCGCTCGGGCTCCACCACGGAAATTGAGATCATCGCACCCCACAAGGTGGTGGAGCGGACCCAGAATGTCACGGAGAAGGTCACCCAGGTTTGGCCTGCAGGGCAAGGCAGACCGGGCTGTGCTGGGCCGTGAGGGTGGGAGGGGCAGAGTGGAGAGGGCTCAGCTGCATGCAATAACCAACCCCCGCCTAGGATATATGAGAAGTAGTCAAGGTTCCCTGGTGCTCAGGACCTGTCCAGGCCCCAGACTAGCTACACACCTCAAATTCGGCTCTTTCCATGGAAGGAGCTGGCCCCAGGGAAGGTCTTCACTGGTCCAGGCTCCACAGGGCCTTCCCAGGCGTCACCCCTACATCTTCACTGCCCCCAGACCCATCTCACCAGCAGCAGCTGCCCCACTGACCACCCCATGGCCCCCACCCCAGGTCCTGTCCCTGGGTGCAGATGTGCTGCCCGAGTATAAGTTGCAGGCGCCACGCATCCACCGCGGGACCCTCCTGCACTACAGCCCCTTCAAGGCCGTATGGGACTGGCTCATCCTGCTGCTGGTCATCTACACAGCCGTCTTCACACCCTACTCAGCCGCCTTCCTGCTCAGCGACCAGGACGAGTCGCAGCGCGGGGACTGCAGCTACACCTGCAGTCCCCTCACCGTGGTGGACCTCATCGTGGACATCATGTTTGTCGTGGACATTGTCATCAACTTCCGCACCACCTATGTCAACACCAACGATGAGGTGGTCAGCCACCCCCGCCGCATCGCCGTCCACTACTTCAAGGGCTGGTTCCTCATTGACATGGTGGCAGCCATCCCCTTCGACCTGCTCATCTTCCGCACTGGCTCTGATGAGGTGAGCGAACCTGCAGCCCTGGGGCCTCCCTGGCCTCACAGCCCTGGGTGAAGAGAGTACCTGGCTCTGGGCACCTTTGCCAAAGCAAGTGGAGGTGGGAAGGGGGCAAACATCTCCTGTCATCTCCCAGCCCTGGAAAAGGACCACCGAGGCTGTGCCCCAGGCCTGGGTGGCCTCCCTGTGCTCCCCAATTCAGCCCCTCCTGGGATGGGCATTTCTATAGTCCCAGGTTCTCACGCTGACTTCTAAACCACACTCATCTTGGAGTTAGAAAGGGAATATGCAAACTGCTCCTTAATGCAGCCTGACCCCTCCTCACCCCTGAGCCCCTCCACTGTGCCAACTCCACTTCCCATAGCTGATGTGAGGGCATTTTCATGCTTTTCTTAAAGCTTCTAGTCCCACTCTGTCCTTTCCCCCGCCTCTTTGGGATCAGCTTTCCACTCCAATCAGTTCTGCCTTTTGTGTTCCCGGTCACACATACCTCCACCCACCCCACCCCCCAATCACCCCAGCCTGTGCAGCAGGGGCTGTCCCTCATGACTCCCTGCTCCCATGCCCATCCATTCCTGAAAATCTTTCCCCAAATCCTCTCTCCTCCTCTCTACCCACAGCCCCTGCCTGGACACGGAGTGGCCTTCTTACCCATGTCTGCCCCAGCCCCACACCTGCCAGCCATACTCCTTCCACAAAGAAGCCAGAGAGAGTTTCAGATCACTCAGATGACCCTGTTACTTATCTGGCCCTGTCCTCAGAACCTTAAGTGGCTACCCAGTGGCTTGGGATAAAAGCCACTCTCCTTCTGGAAGCTCAGGCCCACAGGAACAGCCCTTGCCCATCTTCCAGGCTCATTTCTCTAGACTCTGCCATCTTCCTCACTAAGCTCCCGGCTGCAACACCACTCTTGGTTTCCCACTTCTAGGCCTTTGCTCTTGCTGTTCCCTGAGCCTGAAATGCCCTTCCCCTCTCCCTCCTATCTGCCTGGAGGCCCAGCCTCATCTCTCAAGACTCAGCTCATGTGTCACCTTATCTGTGCAGCCTCCCTGCTCTGCTCCTGCAGACTTGACCTCTCCTTCCTCTGTGCTCTCCCTGGATTTCTGTCCCAGTAACTTTAACACTGCTTTTGAGCTCCTTAAGGTCCCACTCTGTGTACCACTGCCAAGAGCCTGGCCCTAAGCAGGTTTTTCATGAGTGTTTATTGAATGACTATGTGACCATATGCATGAGTAAACAAATGTGGTCCTGATCTCAGACTTTCAAGGGCTGACTGCTAGCCCCATGCCCCCTCCCTGCCCCTCCAGACCACAACCCTGATTGGGCTGCTGAAGACTGCTCGGCTGCTGCGGCTGGTGCGCGTGGCCAGGAAGCTGGACCGCTACTCTGAGTACGGGGCAGCCGTGCTCTTCCTGCTCATGTGCACCTTTGCGCTCATCGCGCACTGGCTGGCCTGCATTTGGTATGCCATCGGCAACGTGGAGCGGCCCTACCTGGAGCCCAAGATCGGCTGGCTGGACAGCCTGGGCGTGCAGCTCGGCAAGCGCTACAATGTCAGCGACCCTGCCTCAGGCCCCTCGGTGCAGGACAAGTACGTCACTGCCCTCTACTTCACCTTCAGCAGCCTCACCAGCGTGGGCTTCGGCAACGTCTCCCCCAACACCAACTCAGAGAAGGTCTTCTCCATCTGCGTCATGCTCATCGGCTGTGAGTGCCACCTCATGCCCCGGGCCTTACCCGTAGAGTTTGATGTTTAGTTTTGTAGTGAGACGTAACAGCCCGTAGTAACAATGTGTGTGATAAGCGGAGCCTAAGCATACAGCGCAATGAAACGCTGCATGTATGCACCAAGTATACACAGAATTTAACACCCTGCAGCCCTTGCTGTGTGCCAGGAACCGGGAGCAGCTACATCATTTGCAGGGCCCAGTGCAAAATGAAAATGGAGAGCCTTTCCTTAAAAAAATATTAGGATTTCAAGACTATGACAGCAGAAAATTAAAGCAAATGCGGGGCCCTTCTTAGCACAGGCCGCATGCCTAGGAAGCCAGACCTGCCAGGCACTTTCCTACGTGCTTATCAAAGGCCCACATCCCCTTCCAATCTCTACCCACATAAGGGCCATATTATGAACCCAATTTACAGACCAAGAAACCAAAGGTCCTAACCTGCCAGGGAATACCCAGGGACCCAGTTCCAGTCCCGGGGCCCTTCCCGGGGCTGGGGGTGCTCAGGCTCTGCACTGTGCTGCCGGCTTCCCAAGACGCCTCGTCTAGGAATGTGAGAGGCACTGTGGGATTTTACACGTAGATGAAGTTGTCATGTTCAGAGTATTTAGAGATGTGAAAGCCCAGAAAAACAAAAACAACAAGAAAGGGAAAAAAAGGATGAAAACAAGACCAAGAGTTTTCCCTTTATTACACTTTTACAGCTGAGTGAGAAAGCAAATTTGAACTAAAAAATTCCATTGCCCTAGTTCTTTCTCTCAGGAGTTTGGCCTCTGGGCCCAGGAAGATGCCAAGAGGCAGAGGGCAAAGGGAGGAGGGCAGGAAGCCTAGGGACCTCTGTCCCCCAGCTGCCCTCGTGCTATTCTGGGCACTTCTGACTCAGTCCTGGACAGAGGAAGAGGGAGGCTTGAGGCAGGCCCTGCGGTGGGGTGGCCTGGTGGGGATGCAGAGGAGCTCACTCCCCGAACCCCGGCTCCCCGCCCCAGCCCTCATGTATGCCAGCATCTTTGGCAACGTGTCCGCCATCATCCAACGCCTGTACTCGGGCACTGCCCGCTACCACACGCAGATGCTGCGAGTCAAGGAGTTCATTCGCTTCCACCAGATCCCCAACCCGCTGCGGCAGCGCCTGGAAGAGTACTTCCAGCACGCCTGGTCCTACACCAACGGCATCGACATGAACGCGGTGAGCCCGGCCGCACTGCCCGGGGTGGGATGGGCGACCCAACTCAAGTCCCACTCTTTTTTCTTCTTCTTCTTCTTTTTTAATATTTTTGTTTATTTCAGAGAGTAAGGAAGAGGGAGAAAGAGAGATAGAAACATCAATGATGAGAGATATCCATTGATATCTCCCAACTGGGAACTGAGCCTGCAACCCAGGCATGTGCCCTTGACCAGAATTGAACTTGGGACTCTCAGCCGCGTCGCACTTGTATTCACTAAACTGCATGGGCTAGGGCTCTTTTTAAAAAAAAAATTTTAAGGAATCCTAAGGGAGGGGAGGGGGGAATTGGTTTGACCCTCTATGATGAAAAAAATTTTTGGAGGGGGTGTTTTTGAAGGTCTCAAATTGGGTAGGGAGCCCACACCCCAGAAATTGGCCCTTTTGGGTGTAGGACCCCCGGGACCCTTTGGGGGGGCCTCTCCCTCCCCTGGGCCAAACCCGGGGGGGGAAATTCCCCCCTCTTTTTATTGGGGG